CCCACATCACAGAGCTAGAAAGTGGCAGAGCTGGGACATAAATAAAGTCAGTCTGGTTGCAGAGCCCATGCTGCCTCTCTACACTGCCCCCTTGCTGGTGGTTTAACATGACAAGGTTGTTCTCCATTCATGGCTCAGAAGGGTCTGGGCTCAGGGTAGATTTCAGGAGTTGCCAAACTATAGTCTGAGGACCGAATCTGGTCCATTGCTTGCTTTGTAAGCAAAGTTTTCTTGAAATACAGTCATTATCGGTCATTTAGGTATTTCTGTGGTTGCTTTCATGCAGCCACGTGGCAAAGTCAAGTTGCTACTGAGACCCCTAGCCTGCAAAGCCAAAAATATTTCCTATCTGCTCCTTTAGGGAAAAGTTTGCATCGTATTTGATCTTCTTTTTTTTTTTTTAAGATTTTATTTATTTATTTGACAAACAGAGATCACAAGTAGGTGGAGAGGCAGGCAGAGAGAGAGGAGGAAGTAGGCTCCCTGCTGAGCAGAGAGGCCGATGCGGGACTCAATCCCAGGACCCTGGGATCATGACCTGAGCTGAAGGCAGTGGCTTTAACCCACTGAGCCACCCAGGCGCCCCATGTATTTGGTCTTCTATTAGCATAAGATGATGAAGGTTCTAAGTCTCCAAGGAAAGAATGGAGAGAAAAGAATCCAAGAAAATTGGCAGAAACCACGTTAGGAGGCAAGGTTGAGGAAGTGCAACCAACGAAAGAAAGAGAGCCATTATTATTAGATGTAATCATATCTCATTTTTTGCGAGAGCTTTTTAAAATAAAATGATAGTTGTAAATCAAGTGGAATTTCAAATACGGGGGGGGGGGGTCTTTGAAAGAAAGTCCCTTGCAGAATTATAAAGGAAAAAATGCCCCATTATGTGTCCACTTTTGCAAGTTTGGGTTTTATTATGCTCAGTTTCCTTATGAAACTGACGCTCTCCAGAAAGAAGGACTTTTTGTTCATTTATGTGTTTGTTCCTTCTATGTGTTGGATGCTCTAGGCTGGCTTAGGCAACGGGAACAGAGTGGCGAAGCTCATGAAGTATACAGTTCGCTGAGGGGTACTGACGAGTAAAGAGACAGTGACAGTGTTGGGCCCAGAGTGAGCAAGGGTGTGAGAGAAGCAAATAAGAGGAAGCTTCTGGTCCAGACTGGGGGCCGTGGTGTGTTTGTGTGTGGGTAGGTGCTGGGGATTTGGGAAAGCTTCCTTGAGGAAGAAATGTCTAAGTTGAGATTTGAAGGTCCATTAGGCAGTAAGCGATGAAGACAGGAGGGGGCAGACCCAGGGGAGGAGGAGAGGGATTTGGGGCTGGGAAGAAAACTTCCATAAAGTCCCTGCAGCCTGCTAGAGTGGGATCCTCACCTTGGCTGGGGTGGGGGGAGGGGAGGTGATAGAAGGGAAGGGCTGAAGGATGAGACAGGGAAGTGGGCAGGGCCAGCTACAGAGGGCCTTCACTGCCATGCTAAGGAGTTTGGCCTGCATTTTGAAGATGGTGGGGGTTTGCAGAGAGGTTTTAAGCAGCAGTACTACTGGCCATGATTCACAGAGTAGAATACTGCTCTGTGCAGTGTGGAAAGCAGACTGAGGACAGGAGGAAGATCAACACCAGTTAGAAATGGTTGCAGGAGGGCGCTTGGGTGGCTCAAGGGGTTAAAGCCTCTGCCTTCGGCTAGGGTCATGATCTCAGGGTCCTGGGATTGAGACCCGCATAGGGCAGAGAGCCCCGCATCGGGCTCTCTGCCGGGCAGGGAGCCTGCTTCCCCCTTTCTCTCTGTCTGCCTCTCTGCCTACTTGTGATCTCTGTCTGTCAAATAAATAAAAAATTAAAAAAAAAAAAGTGGCTTCGGGGTGAAGTGGACTCCTTGAATAAACATAGAGAAGGCCAAATCCCTTGGACTTGGGACAGATCAGATATGAAAGTCAAAGGGAGAAGAAAAAGCCAGAGGCCTGGGTAACTTGATAGCGATTGTGCCATTCAGAAAGAAGAGGACAGAGGAGCTGAGGGGACGGAGGGGCTGTCGTTTTTGGGAGGATGGTGGCAGAAAGTACTAAATGCACCTTTGGGCATGTTGAGTCTTTGTTTCTGGGACATTCATTGAAGAGGTCCATAGATGAAAGGATTTATGAGTCTATGGCTCGGGAAAGGGAATAAAAACATAGATGTATGAATTGTCAGTATGTGGATGGTATGTGAAGCAACTGGAGGGGTGAGATTTTCTCAAAGAGGGGCTTTAAAGTAAGAAGAGGAAAGAGACCAAGGATGAAATCTTAGGAACACCGTCATTGTCTACAGAGTTAGAAGGAAAACAAGAATATCACAGAAACCAAGGGAAGAAAATCTTACAAGAAGGGGGGTTATGCAAAATTATAGAACATTCAAGAAATAATAAAGCCTGGAGGGTGCCCATTCCATCTGACAACAAGGAAGGCACTGGGAATTTTGGTGGGGAGTTTCAGTGGAGTGATGAGAGTAGAAGCTATATTTCAGTGGAATGAAGATGAATGAAAAGGAAGCATGGATATCAGGAGAAGACAACTCAAGAAGCTTGGCTGTGAGGGAGATGTGGGGAGGTGGAAGGATGGCTGGAGGGGGCCTTTGGCTGGGAGAGAGTTTCATATAGGAGAGATCCGAAGCATGTTTAAATGCTGATGGGAAGGAGTCAGGAAAGAAAAGGAGAGGGGTGAGCAGAAGGAGCATAATCTCTGAGGAGGCAGGAAGAAGGGATCCCAAGCATAGTGGAGTAGTCAGCCACTGTGCTGGGAAGGAAGGAAGAAAGGTGGTTATGGATACCGGCCAGTGTACTGGGGTGGCAATAAGGAGTAGAGCGTTTTAACTTGGTGGTTCCATTTTTTTCTCTCAAGTTGACAGGGAGATGATCTCTAGAGAACAAGAAGGGAGATCATAGGACAACAAGTTAGAAAAGAATGGTCATCACGGAAATGGGAGAGAAAGCTAATTAAGAACAAAGGATTGCTGGGGAGGGTTGAGGGCTGAAGTGTGAGGCTGGAGACCAGAACACTAACAGCTCCAGTCCAAGGGGTTGGTAATTTTATTCTCCAGTGCTCAGCAGCCCAGATGTCAGAGCCAGGAAGGAGAATGGTTTCACTGACCTCAACAGGTGTCATTTAAGAACAGTGGGCAGGGGAGTTGATATTGGGAACAGTGATAAAAGGCAGTTCATGGAGATTCCATATAGGATAGAAAAAGAAATGATGACTGAGGGGAAGCGTGAGGACAGAAGAGAGAATGCCAGGGTTTGATGGAGCTAACAGCTGAAGCAGAAGTGAGAGTGGGAGAGGCAGAAAGCCATGAGATGATCCGCTGGGGTGGGGGTCTGAACTTATGATTTCAGAGGTGGAGCAGTACTTGGCCGTGATACTCCAAGGGTGTCAGAAGTGGGAATGAGGCCACTGAGGAGGTGGTGCCAGTGAGCTTCTAGGCTTTGGGATGACTCATTGACTTTGGGCATGGGAGGACTCGAGGTAGGAAAAACTGAGTCAGGGGTAGAGTCTGCAGTGGAAGAGGAGAAGGGGGTCTGAGGTCAAGAAAAACCAGGGTGAGGTTGGGGTAAACACTGATGAGGGCTTGACAAACGTCTGATGAATACACGAATACAGGAATCAGTGAATATGTGAATGCATCAACTCAGACCAATCTGGCACATTCTGGGAATATCTAGCCGTAAATCTCGAGATCCCAGAGGAAACACTAGGATTACAGAGTCCCGGTTAGGAGGAGTGTACGGGTCTCAGGTTATCATAAGCATTAAAGGTAAGCAGTTCTTTTCAGCCTATCCTATCTTAAGAGGCTATTTGAGTCCTCTAGACCTGCCCAGGTCCAAACAGATAGCTACTAACCCCTTGTAGCTATTGAGCACTTGAATTGTGTCTAGTCTAAATCAAGATGTGCTGTCCACATAAAACACACCGGATTTCAAAGACTTGGTACAAAAAAGAAAAAAATATATAAAATATCTCATTTTAAAGTATTGATGATGTTGAAATCCCAATTTTGGGGAATCGATGCATTTAAATAAATAAAACATTATGAAACATTATTAAAATGAATAAAACATTATTAAACATTATTAAATAAATAAAACATTAAAATGAATTTCACCTGCTTCTCCCCCCCCCTTTGCATATGAGGTTACTAAAAAATTTTAAATTACAGATGTGGTTCACATTGCATTTCTCCCGAGCAGCTTGGCTCTAGGCCTTGGTCAGTAGCTTCTGCAATCCCGAAAGGAAGGATTATGCAGCCTGTGCGATGCGCATGTTCTACCAGTAAATGAATAAAGGCAGCCATCTTGAACTTCCACACATACCTGGGGCAGGAGTACAATTTGAACCCGCAAAGGCTTACGTTTCTTGTATACAGGAAATTTTGCTGTAAGAGAACACTTCGTATCCCTCTAAGTATTGCAAAACCTTCCCCTGGCCCTACTAGATGGGGTCTGCGTCCTTGCAACGACCCAGTGGTTTACCATTGTCTCCGCTGTTATCACAGTTGGGATAAACCGAGGGACTCATCCGGTCTCTCTTCTTGGAGTATTTCTGATATGATGAGGCTGCAGATGGCACAGACTGTACTTTATACTTTTCCTTTGACTGGGAAAGCCTGAGACTGTTCTCCTCCATGCCCAGTCTCCTTGGTATCTGTGTGGAGGGCTTGCTTAACATTACAGTTTGGAAGGCCCTTATTTCTGCCAGGGATTGTAGAAGATGACCCTACATTAGCAGTAGCCAGAGCTGGTTTGGGCTTAAATTAAAAAAAAAAAAAAAAAAGCAAACACTAAGAGCTTACCCTAGGTTGGAGGAAACTGAGGCTCCAAGAGGTTCTGTAACCTGAGAGATTCCACAGGTGTGAAGTAGGCAGAGCCAGATCTAAACTCAGGTGGTCTAACTCCAAACCTTGTGACGCTCACACCCCCTACACTTTTCAACACAGCTGATTATGGCCTGGGAAACAAAGAGAGGGCAGTCTCACTTACTTGGCCTCGGGGAAAAGCCTTCCTTTTCTCCAAAAGAGTATGGCATCAGTTGGCCTGACACATTTTGCTCACACACGCGTTGAACAGCACAGTTGAAGGCAGGTCCTTTCCACAGAGGTTCCTACACTGTACACCAGAATAACTCGGTCCATGTTAAGGGCTGCATTCCAGACCTGTTAAATCAGAACCCTGGGAGTAGGGCCTAGGAATTTGTATTTTTAAAACATTTCTAAGGGGATAAGGGAACCCTCATTTCACAAAATGATAAACATAGGCTCTAGGTAAGTACCTTGATTTAGGATCTGATTTAGAACTTGGACTTCTGGGTGACTATTGGGACAAAATGTAAGGAAGTTACAAGGAAGGTTTATTTCACCGACCTGAAAAGAGTGGGTCTGGCTTTGGGGGCTCCTTAGGCAGAGCTGACATTTGTGCGCTAGGTTCTTCGAGGCTTCCCAACCTTCAGACTGCCCTTGGGGCCCCTGCTTCATCTCAGGCAACGGGTGAGTGCTGTTAGTTGAAGCCAGACTGACTCTCCTTCTTCTTCCTTTTATTTAGCCTTTCAGTGTTATGATGTACCCAGCTGGTCCTGGATCTGGTGACTCCCCAGAGGGCTTCCCCGAGCAACCGAGGCTCCAGCCACAAATCGGAAATCACACAGCTCAGACACTAGGTACTGAATTTGGGAGTATTAAACAGTCCTTGCTTCCCAGCGTGGCTGGGGTAGACTGAGGGTGAGGCAGGGGGAAGAGAGACTCAAAGAGGTCTTAGGGTAGCACAGAATCCACAGAAGACCTGGCCTTCGTTTAGTGACATGTGCTTTGTTTGATCAGCAAAGATTTGGTCCCTACTGTGTGCTTGGCATTGTTGTAGGCACTAGAGAGACATCTCAATGAAAACCAACCAACCAACCAACCAGACTCAGCGCCTGCCTTGTGGAGCTTTTCCCCCAGTCTTCCCTGACTCCCTTACCAATGGGACACCCCCTTTTTTCCAATTTAGGTTAAAAGAGGGCCCATTTGGAATAGTATGGGAAAGGAGACGAAGCTGTAGATTTAATTTGTGACCTAGAATCTGAGCTGGGGAAGACTGAGCAGAGTCAGGAAAAGAAAACTAATGGGGAAGAACGCGCGCTCTTCTCTGGGATGAGAAGAAAGAGATTATGGAAGTCAGGGCTATGTGAGGCTTCAGGGAAAGTCCCGCGCCTCATTTTACGCGTGAGGAAACTGCGGGACAGAGAGGTTATAGAGTACCCCAAGGGGACCCCTCGTTAGATGGCAAAAGTGGGAATGAAACTGTGGCCCTGGAATGATACTATGCAGCCTCCAGCGAGGCGCTCAATTTTCACACTGGGCGCCTGGATGGCTTCTGGGAGCTAGGCCCGGCCGTTGCCACGGGGAACAGATTCCCCGCCCTCGCGGGCCCACGCGTGGCCCTGCGCTCCCAATAAAGTTTTTGTTGAAGCGCAGCTGTACCACGTGAGCCGGCCCGGGGGCGGGGTCGGGGTCGGGGGCGGGGCCGGGCTCAGAGACCCAGCGGGCCGACCTGAGGAAGGGAGGCGGGCGCGAGCGGGAGCGCGAGCGCGGCGGCTGGCCATGATCGCGTCGTGCCTGTGTTACCTGCTGCTGCCGGCCGCGCGCCTCTTCCGTGCCCTCTCAGGTACCGGCCCCGCGTCCTGGCAGGCGGGTGCCAGGCCCGGGCCCACGTCGGCGGGGTCCCGCGGGGCCCGGGGCGGTGTGTGGCGCGTCGGGCCTCACGACCACCCTTCCCCGGCCAAGGTGTGGGGAGGCGGCCCTCTGTCCCCGGTGCCCGCGCTGGACCCCACGGGGCCACGGGCCTGGCCGACGACCCTCGCGGGCGCCCCTCCTCTCCCCGCGCCTGTGGCCTGGTGGCGTCCGGCCACAGTTAATGCGGGAGGGGGACGGCGAAGGGGCAGGAGCCGTCCTTCCCGGGCCCCGGGGGTGTACAGGTTTCAGGGGTCCGCCGAGTCGCTGCCCTGGGGACTCGGCGAGGGTTGGCAACTCGGGTCCAGGCGAACGCCCGAATTGTCGGGGCCGGGGGTGGGGGTGGTGTCTGTGGGCCGAATACCCGCACGCACCTGCCCTCCCCCGGGTTACTCCGCGCTCACCTTTCCCAGCCGCCTCTCCGCTCGCTCTCCAGCCGCGTCTTTCGTTGAAACACTGGTGCTCACAGCCCAGAGACCTTTTACGCCCCAGCTTTGAAGCAGCCTCCCCTGCCCTTAGAGATGCGGCGGGGTGGAGCCAGTGCCCAGCTGGTACTTTAGAGGGGGAAGGGAGCTATTCTTTCACTTTTTCATGATCTGCCTGCGCTGCCATTCCTGGTCTTTGGTGAAATTCCCGAGGCTCTTAGGACGCCATCACTTCCCACAGAACTCCCAAAATGTTCTCTGGCAATTTAGAGGCCGGGACAGACCAAGAGCTACTTTCTTGGAAATAAGCAATCACCTGCATTCTGTGCTTTTCCTTTCTAGACCTTTACACGTGTGTGTGTGTGTGTGTGTGTGTGTGTGTGTAAATCCATTTATCTAGTTATTTGTGTGTCTGCCTCTGGAATGCAAGCTCCAGGAGGGCAGGGCCATGTCTGTTTTGCTCCCTGTATCTCTAGTGCTAGCACACTGCCCAGAATATAGTAGGCACTGGATTCAGGATGAGAAACTCCACGGAAGTAATTGCTTTCAGAGAATTAAAGCATATTCCTTTGTCCATGTTGCTGTCATTTCTGGAGCTCTTCGGATGTCCACCACGGTAGTCTCATAGTGACATACACTAGTCCACAGTGTTCTAGGCCTGTGGTCAGCCTTTAGAGATCTCAGAGGAGGGACCACTTCCCTCCCTCCCCCATTAAAGTAGTACCGCTTTTTAAAAACTTTGTGTATTTGGTTTTTACGTAAGGGTTTCTTTCTTTCCCTCCCTCCCTTCTTTCCTTCCTATAAAACAATTCTGTTGACAAACCAGCCACCACCACCACCACCAAAAATCTGCTAAATTTGAAACCAAGGACCCTCACACATGTCAACCAGAGAGCCTCTGCCATCTGGTATGCAGAGGATGTTTCAAGGGACAGGGAATTAGCAAATCCCTGAGATTAAAGCCAGCAACATAGTTCATGGGTGTAAAGCGGGGTTTCCCAATCTCAGCACTATCGACATTCGGGCCTGGATAATTTGTTGCGGGGCTGTCCTCTGCACTGTAGGGTGTCCCGCAGTATCCTTTTCCACTAACCTCTAGATGCCAGCAGCATCCCTCCAGTTTTGACAACCACTGTTTCCAGATAATACCATATGTCCCCTGAGGGCAAAATCACCCCTTGTTAAAAACCACTGGCTGAGAGGGACATAGACTATAGATCCACGTACACTATAAATAAGATCGTATCTTTCAACATTTGAACCATTTTGATACTTTTCTTGCCTTTTGAAAAAATAGAGCTGATAAAATGAGTCTGTGGTGATTGAGGGTGAGCTGGTCTCTTGTCCCGTGCTGTAAATAAGTGCTTTAGTGAGGGTGGGTGTTTGCTTGCACCAAAACACTGTGCTTGGAGTTTGGGGGGCTCCAAGTTTAGAGTTTTTCCATTTGCTGTCTTGCCTGTTGGCTGTCATTTGTGGCTGCTGAGGCAAAGAGATGACAGCTGTCTCTTACTTACAATATGCACTCGTTGGCACCTTCCGATTTATAGCCTCTGGTGTGTTATGGAATGGGAAGGCTGATAATGAAGTTTGTGAAGATTTATGAATAGAATATATAGCTTTGAGAAAAAGAACAAGGGCCTTCGCTAAGAAATAAATTGTATAGATTTTGAGACACCCTTTTTGTCTACTTCAGGACATTTTCTTTTTTTAAAGATTTTTTTTAAAGATTTTATTTATTTATTTGACAGACAGAGATCACAAGTAGGCAGAGAAGCAGGCAGAGAGAGAGGAGGAAGCAGGCTTCCTGCTGAGCAGAGATCCCGATGCGGGGCTCCATCCCAGAACCCTGGGATCATGACCTGAGCCAAAGGCAGAGGCTTTAACCCACTGAGCCACCCAGGTGCCCCCAGGACATTTTCTTTTGGAATGTATTCATAGATTAGGGGATTTATAGAACTAGAAATGTTCTTGGAGATTATGTTGTTCAAACTTTCCCTTTCCCGCCTTTACAGTCAAGAGAGAGTCCATTTCACCAGGGGCTTTGTCCAAGGTCACATGGTTTGTTAGTTTCAGTGCTAGGTCATAACCCACAGTTCTGATTCATGGTCAAGTGCTGGTTCCAATGTAATGTGACCCTTAGAACCAGAGAGTTGATGCTTAATAGGAGTCGTGACCTCTAGACAGAAGGGGTGGTGGTGGTTATATGTGACCATCTCCATCCTAGATTATGTGGGACAGCCATTCTTTCATTCATGCACTGAATATATATCATATCACTACCATACAAATTAGTTCATACTTGTAAAGCACTTAGAATAGCACCTGGCATATAAAGCACTTTATGCTAATGATAATGGTGTTCCGGGCCCTAAAATGGGCAGGCTCGGTGATGGTAAACAATGGGCAAGGTGCATATGATTCTTGTTTGTATGGGACTTTCATTTTAGTTGGGAGAAGAGTATGGGTTGGGGCATGTTGTCATCTTATAACACAGTATTTTGGCTTGCTTCTTAGATGCTTTCTTCACATGTCGAAAAAATGCCCTCCTGGCGAAGAGCTCATCCACCCAGGTAGAGGGCGACTTTGCCATGGCCCCTCGGGGGCCCGACCAGGAGGAGTGTGAGGGCCTGCTACAGCAGTGGCGAGAAGAAGGGTCGAGCCAGGTGCTCTCAACTTCGAGTGAGGGTCCCCTTGTAGATAAGGGACTAGCCCAGAGCAGCCTGGCGCTCCTGATGGATAATCCTGGAGAACAGGATGCTGCTTCAGAGGACAAGTGGTCCAGCAGGCAGCTGAGTGACCTGCGGGCAGCAGAGAACCTGGAGGAGCCTTTCCCCGAGGTGCTAGGAGAGGAGCCACTGCCAGAGGTCGAGGGCCCAATGTGGGCAGCTGTCCCCATGCA